CACACACACACACGCGCGCACACACACACACACGATGCGCAAAACTTACGCATTTGAACAGTCCATAGCAAATACTTAAACTAATAACAAAACAGTAGATGATTCAGAAGCGCCAGATTGTCATAGCAAAGTCAGAATTACCTCCTCTCCTAGGTTCACGAAAAGGTCGTCCATAAAATGCATTGCTGTTCTGTTGTAAGTAATCTTAAAGATTGCTAAATGCATCTACTTTCGGAAAGGCCAAATAAAGTGCTTCTGCTTTCGCCTAGAAACACACAGGGTCTCCCTGACATGACTGCTTCAACACTAACTGTGGTTACTGAAACCACACCTTCTTTCTTTGCGTGAACATTTGGGCGGCATTATGCAAATATTTCCACATAGTGAGGTAGATATGTGGGGGCGTGTTAGAACGAGCCGTTTTAGGGGGGCGTGGCAGAGTCTTAACTTTGATAAAGAATATCTCTTTGGTTTTGAGACTTTAGTCTTTGCAACTTCAGGGATCTTATCTACGCACAATCAGCTTGTAACACTCCAAAGAGAAAGGAAAACTTGAAATCGCATCATATGACCCCCTTTAATAGTCCTGTCCTGCTTCCCACTGAGATGGTAAAAATTACTCTGTGCCAATGTCTGCTGCCTCAGCATATTTTCACTGTATAAGAGTGATTTTAATTGATATTGTCATGCGCCTAATGTTTTTTCGTTGTTGTTAATTTGTCTCAGGCAAGAACCAGATGGAGTTTTGTTGTCACATGCTCAGAGGTTCTGTGGATCCCAAGAAACCACCTGTGTATGAATATGTCAAGTTTATTGGCAACTTTAAGTCACTCGCCAACAGTGAGTGTTTATTTTCCTCTTGATAAACTGACTAAATACTAAACCATATGTTAATTGCGTTAGTTACTGCCCAAAGCAAAATGCATGGACGGCCAATTTCTTTTAACACAAATCTCCACTTTGAATGCTGTCCCAGTGCCTCTTGCAACCCGAAATGGCCTTGAGGGAATTTTACAGCACTCGTTGCAGCCGGCCTTCGACGATAAAGTCTGTCTTCTTGCGACTGTGAGGCTCGCCAAACCCCAGTTCATCAAAGTAAGCTGATAATCAATCAGAAAATACAGAGCAAAAATAGATCTCCATTACAGAAACTCTCTCTGAAAGCAAGCAACCATAGGCATGCATCATAAAAAAGCATTACTAGCAAAATAATTCTAATATTGACCTGTTTGTTGTTATTGATTGTGTACAGGAGATGTGCATAGTGGAGGAGCCCAATGTTGAATTTACATCTCGACACAGTCTGGAGTGGAAATTCCTCTTATTAGATCACAGGTTTTCACACTTACTCACAATATCACTTTCTCCATGTTTGTAATGTCCTGTTTTTCCTTCATTGAGATATTCTTGTGTTACAGAGCACCTCCTATCATTGGCTATATGCCCTTTGAGGTGTTGGGAACATCAGGCTATGACTATTATCATGTAGACGACTTGCATTCACTGGCCAAATGCCATGAGCATTGTGAGTTTAAAACAAACTAACATATATTTGAAACTTTCATTTGGCGCCATATTCTTCTTCATATGTCTCTCTTATTCTCTGTCTGCTTGCAGTAATGCAGTTTGGAAAAGGGAAATCATGTTATTACCGCTTTTTAACTAAAGGGCAGCAGTGGATTTGGCTCCAGACTAACTACTACATCACCTATCACCAGTGGAACTCACGACCAGAGTTTATCGTGTGCACGCACACAGTTGTGAGGTACGCAGAGGCACACAGATGACTACACAAACCGGGAAGATACCAATAGTGACTTTGCTTGTGTTTTTATTTTGAATTGTTTTTGTCTGTAGTTATGCTGAGGTGCGAGCAGTGCAGAGGAGAGAGATGGGTATAGAGGAATCTCCCCTTGAGTTGCCCGGAGATAAGGTGAGATGCTTCTGAGATAGTAACCTCTCAGAAATAGTCCACTAATGTGGTATAATGTGCATGCTGTTGAATGTCTTATCTAAAAGAGACTGTGATTAAGTTTATGCACTTCAGTGGTGAAACATGCCTGTTTATCAAATGTGAGGTTATCAGTATAGATGGTTAGTTAACTGAATGATTAACAGATTCATGTGTCTTATTTATGGTAAATTAACTTTAGATTGTAAAAACCTCTTTATTATATACTTGCTGACTGGAGTCAGTAAGATTTGTTTTCAGAAGGAAATTAATACTTTTATTCAGCAAGAATGCATTAAATGAATCAAGAATGACAGTTAAGACATTGACTAAAGATTTCAGTTTCAAATAAATGCATTTTTTTTTTTAGTTTTGGTTGTTTTTAAACTTTGTATTTATCAAAAAATCTTTAAAAAATGATTATGCTTTACACAAAAATATTAAGCAACAACTATTCTAAGAACATCTATCTGTCAAGAGGGCAAATTTGATATTGATAAAATAACATTTAAAATATTTTATATGCATGTTCGTGTGTGTATGTATGTGTGTATATATATATATATATATATATATATATATAGGGCCTAAAACTAACTTTTTGCCACACCTGCCAATGGCCGGTGACGTGATAAAATTGACCGGCCAAAATTTTTTTTTTACCGGCCATTAAACTCTATTTGCAAAAACAGGCAGTCATTACTACTACAATGACTAAACATATTTACAATGTTTTTAATGTATCCTTTACTTTACTTACAAGCATATCTTCTCAGGTAAAAGTTATTAGAACCGTGTCTAGGGGCAAGCTGGCCATCACTCTACTCTGACTCTCTGAGTCTCTGACCTTTTCAGCCCGTTTTGTATTATTTAATTCACTCTTGTCGCTTATGTTATGACAGAACAGCTAACCAATCACGATGATCTTGTCTTCGGAAAAGATTCTTTTATTTGCTTACGTCAGAAACAGCGAATCTCTTTAAAAACTGGCTGTTGTTCTCACTACATTGCATTGTTATATTTCGTAAAAGTTTTACCCGCCAACTGGCGACTGACACGGTTACATATACTCGCCAACGCTGATTTATACTCACATTTGGCGCTTGGTGAGTGTTCATTTTAGGCCCTGTATATATATATATATATGGGCAGCGCGCCGACATACAGTGCTGTTGCGCTATGGGCGTCCCGAGTTCGAATCCCAACTCAAGGACCTTTCCTGATCCCGCCCCCTATCTCTCTCCCACTTCGTTTCCTGTCAGTTGTAAAATAAATAGTTAAAAAACAATTGCTCTCCTTTTTCAGTCATTGCAAAACAAAAAACATTGATCAAAAGTTACACTACAGATATTTCTTAACTTTCCTCTCTCTTTCCAGCAGTCTCAGATTTCTGGCTCTGAATCTCAGTTAAACACCTCCAGACTGAAGGAGGTTCTGGAGTGCTTCAGTCGCACACCTTCCACCTCCTCAAGGAGCTCCCGCAAGTCCTCGCACACCGCTGTCTCCGACAACACCTGTACCTGTAAGCATGAAAAACTGAGCCAAAAGTGTGCTCTTCTGATGCGTTTTCCTGGTTTTGTGCCTGTTTAAAACTCTTTAATCTGTATGATTTCCTTAGCAACTCCCTCTAAGCTACAGATGGATGTGAGCACTCCACCCCGGCCCGCCACTGTTGATATGACACCCCAACGTCGTTCCTCTATCAGCACCCATGTGAGACTTGTGTATTCATCAATGTCAATACTTGGCTTTAATGATCTTACAAAGCATTCCTAAAATATGCTTGTGCCTCAAGTAATGACTGTGGTCTTATCGGCATTATTTTAGTCCATGAGTTCTCAAAAAAACAATCAGACTGGATCTCCGGTCCAAATCAACCAACAGCAACAACCTCAACCACAGCAGCAGGTTCAACCTAATGCCCTGGTAAGAATTTTTTTTAGGTGTTTTCCATGGAAGCCCATTTCCGCTACCGAATAAAAAAAATCTCTCAATTCTGACTTTTTTCTCGCAATTGTGAGTTTACATCTTGGAATTCTGACTTTTTTTTTTCTCAGAATTGTGAGATATAAACTTGCAATTGTGAGTTATATAAAGTCAAAATTGTGAGATATAAACTCGCAATTCTGAGAAATACAGTTGCAATTCTGAGAAATAAAGTGAGAATTGCTAGATATGAACTCGCAATTCTGACTTTATAACAAGCAATTGCGAGTTAAGTCAGAATCGTGAGATATAAACTCGCAATTCTGAGAACATATCAGTCTTTTTTTTCCCCCTCAGAATTGGACTTTATACCTCGCAATTGTGAGATATAAACTCGCAATTTCGAGGAAAAAAAGTCAGAATTGCAAGGAAGAAAGCATTTCCGCTACCGAATAAAAAAAATCTCTCAATTCTGACTTTTTTCTCGCAATTGTGAGTTTACATCTTGGAATTCTGACTTTTTTTTTTCTCAGAATTGTGAGATATAAACTTGCAATTGTGAGTTATATAAAGTCAAAATTGTGAGATATAAGCTCGCAATTCTGAGAAATACAGTCGCAATTCTGATAAATAAAGTGAGAATTGCTAGATATGAACTCGCAATTCTGACTTTATAACAAGCAATTGCGAGTTAAGTCAGGATCGTGAGATATAAACTCGCAATTCTGAGAACATATCAGTCTTTTTTCCCCCTCAGAATTGGACTTTATACCTCGCAATTGTGAGATATAAACTCGCAATTTCGAGGAAAAAAAGTCAGAATTGCAAGGAAGAAAGTCAGAATTGCTTCTAAATTTCTGAGAAGTTTATAACTCGCAATTCTGACTTTATAACTCGCAATTGCATGTTTATATCATGCAATTCTGAGAGGAAAAAACGTCCAAATTGTGAGATTTTTTTTAATTCAGTTGCGGAAATGGGCTTCCATAGTTTTCATGTAGTTTGTTTTTTTTGTTTGTTTATTTTTGGTATGGTGTTTTGGTTTGTCAGATAGATCAGATAAGCCATCATTTATATGACTGACTTTTGATTTTTCTCCATGACACCATGATGTTTATTCTTCTATGCTTTCTGAATGTAGTTCTCTGCACAGTTGAACGCAATGCAGCACCTGAAGGAGCAATTGGAGCAAAGGACATGCATGATCGAAGCTAACATTCAGAAACAGCAGGAGGAACTGAGACAGATTCATGAGCAGCTCCAGAGGGTGCAGGGACAGGGCACTCAGGTACACGCATGTAACTGTGAATATCGGTATTGACAACTTTGCTGTTATTAAGAAACAAAAGCATGTGATTGAAATGGTGACTTTCAGATGATACTGCAGCAGTCGGGTGGTGGACTGAGTGTACAGTTGCCGCAAGTTGGAGGAGCACAGACTAACATTTTAGGGGTTGGAGCACAGACTGGGGTCATAGCTATACAAGGCCAAAATGTGACAAGTACAGCACAGAGTGGGACTGTTCCACAGCAACAAGCACTTCCACAGCAACAGGCTCCTCGTTCCCTGCAGCAGGGCTCTTCTGTTACACAGGTGACTTTCATCATTTTTGCTCCGACAACCAGTAAATATTTGCTCTGACAACCACTTGATTAGTCTTTATTAAATAATGCAATGCCTGATGAAATCTGAACTTTCAGATCAGGTCCTTTTAAAATATGTATTATATATGTACACTACCATTCAAAAGTTTTTAAGGTTGTAAATGTTTATGAAAAAAGTATCTTAGGCTGCATTTGTTAACTAAATAAAAATACAGTAATATCATGAAATATCATATAAATATTTTAATTTGTTCCTGTGATGGTAAAGCTGAGTTTTCAGCATCATTACGCCAATCTTCAGTGTCACATGATCCTTCAGAAATCATTCTTGTATACTGATTTGGTGCTCAAGAAACTTCTCATTACAGTTTAAAATGGTTGTTATGCTTAATATTTTTGTGGAAACTGATGCATTTTTTTCAGGATTTTTTGATGAATAGAAGTTCAAAAGAACAACATTCATTTGAAAAAAAAACTTTAGATTATTATTTTTTTATATATACAGTGGGGAAAAAAAGTATTTAGTCAGCCACCAATTGTGCAAGTTCTCCCACTTAAAAAGATTAGAGAGGCCTGTAATTTTCATCATAGGTATACCTCAACTATGAGAGACAAAATGAGAAAAAAAAATCCAGAAAATCACATTGTAGGATTTTTAAAGAATTTATTTGCAAATTATGGTGGAAAATAAGTATTTGGTCAATAACAAAATTTCATCTCAATACTTTGTTATATACCCTTTGTTGGCAATGACAGAGGTCAAACGTTTTCTGTAAGTTTTCACACAGCAGGAGGAACTGAGACAGATTCATGAGCAGCTCCAGAGGGTGCAGGGACAGGGCACTCAGGTACACGCATGTAACTGTGAATATCGGTATTGACAACTTTGCTGTTATTAAGAAACAAAAGCATGTGATTGAAATGGTGACTTTCAGATGATACTGCAGCAGTCGGGTGGTGGACTGAGTGTACAGTTGCCGCAAGTTGGAGGAGCACAGACTAACATTTTAGGGGTTGGAGCACAGACTGGGGTCATAGCTATACAAGGCCAAAATGTGACAAGTACAGCACAGAGTGGGACTGTTCCACAGCAACAAGCACTTCCACAGCAACAGGCTCCTCGTTCCCTGCAGCAGGGCTCTTCTGTTACACAGGTGACTTTCATCATTTTTGCTCCGACAACCAGTAAATATTTGCTCTGACAACCACTTGATTAGTCTTTATTAAATAATGCAATGCCTGATGAAATCTGAACTTTCAGATCAGGTCCTTTTAAAATATGTATTATATATGTACACTACCATTCAAAAGTTTTTAAGGTTGTAAATGTTTATGAAAAAAGTCTCTTAGGCTGCATTTGTTAACTAAATAAAAATACAGTAATATCATGAAATATCATATAAATATTTTAATTTGTTCCTGTGATGGTAAAGCTGAGTTTTCAGCATCATTACGCCAATCTTCAGTGTCACATGATCCTTCAGAAATCATTCTTGTATACTGATTTGGTGCTCAAGAAACTTCTCATTACAGTTTAAAACGGTTGTGATGCTTAATATTTTTGTGGAAACTGATGCATTTTTTTCAGGATTTTTTGATGAATAGAAGTTCAAAAGAACAACATTCATTTGAAAAAAAAACTTTAGATTATTTTTTATATATATATATATTTACTGTCACTTATATTTTACAATTACATATTACTTATGATTTTTTTAAAACAGCTCTGTTGCAATTAGATATAAGAAAAAGTTTGATTGACATTTGTTAACACTACAGAATTTACTGTAATTACCAGTACCTTTAACCATGTATTGCCTAGAAGTAGCTTTTAAAGTAGCCCATTAACAGTGACAATCTCCTGTTCTCCACTTCATAGTAGCCTTTGTTACTTTGGTCCCAGCTCTCTGCAGGTCATTCACTAGGTCCCCCCGTGTGGTTCTGGGATTTTTGCTCAGTTCTTGTGATCATTTTGACCCCACGGGGTGAGATCTTGCGTGGAGCCCCATATCGAGGGAGATTATCAGTGGTCTTGTGTGTCTTCCATTTTCTAATAATTGCTCCCATAGTTGATTTTTTCACACCAAGCTGCTTACCTATTGCAGATTCAGTCTTCCCAGCCTGGTGCAGGTCTACAATTTTGTTTCTGGTGTCCTTTGACAGCTCTTTGGTCTTGGCCATGGTGGAGTTTGGAGTGTGACTGTTTGAGGTTGTGGACAGGTGTCTTTTATACTGATAACGAGTTCAAACAGATGCCATTAATACAGGTAATGAGTGGAGGACAGAGGAGCCTCTTAAAGAAGAAGTTACAGGTCTGTGAGAGCCAGAAATCTTGCTTGTTTGTAGGTGACCAAATACTTATTTTACCGAGGAATTTACCAATTAATTCTTTAAAAATCCTACAATGTGATTTTCTGGATTTTTTTTCTCATTTTGTCTCTCATAGTTGAGGTATACCTATGATGAAAATTACAGGCCTCTCTCATCTTTTTAAGTGGGAGAACTTGCACAATTAGTGGCTGACTAAATACTTTTTTACCCCACTGTATATATTTACTGTCACTTTTATATTTTACAATTACATATTACTTATGATTTTTTTAAAACAGCTCTGTTGCAATTAGATATAAGAAAAAGTTTGATTGACATTTGTTAACACTACAGAATTGACTGTAATTACCAGTACCTTTAACCATGTATTGCCTAGAAGTAGCTTTTAAAGTAGCCCATTAACAGTGACAATCTCCTGTTCTCCACTTCATATGGTGACACCATCTAAATGGATGACCTCATTTTTGTCTCTTTCTCTCTCTAATTCTCTTTCTCAGCATGGTCCTGTGTATAATACCATGATGATCAGCCAGCCTGCCAATGCCAATGTTGTGCAGATACCCAGCAGTCTGGCACCAAAAATAAATCAGGGAAATGCAATCAACAGGTGCATGTCTTTTTCCTCATTCTCTTTCCCAGGACACCTTCTACAGATATTATCAGTATTATTTAATTAATCATGTAATTATTTCTTTCTTTGTCTTGCTTTGTCACTCTCAGGTTTCCTGCCGGGCAGCAGTTGATCACTAAGATTGTGACGGCTCCAGTGGCGTGTGGCGCTGTCATGGTACCCACAACAATGTTTATGGGTCAGGTTGTGACAGCTTATAGCCCGTTTGCACAGCAACAAGGTCAGACACAGACCATAGCACTGCAGCCTCAGTCAACAGTGCCTGCAGAACAGGCTCAAACTACCACATTACAAACAAGTCAACAGCAGGGGGCGACGCAGCAACCATTTTTACAGGTAACAAAGCATGCACATAGTTTCATTTTGAGTCTACTCAGAACTATGATTCAGTGATTGGTATGCATCACCACGTGACATTCTACGTAGTCTTCATACTAGTCTAGTTTACAAGCCTTAATGTAGTTGACCAAGAAGTTCTACAGTGAGATGAAGTGAGAGAGAAGTGTTTATTACGTTTGAAATATGGATATTTTTCTTACAAAATGCTTGGATTCACTACAGGAGGCCTTTATTCACCCCCAGAAGCCATGTGAGGCACATTTTATTATGGATGCGCGTGCGTTATTTGACGACTTGTGGACTGTTCAACAGAAACACCCACTGACTGCATTGATAGAGCTTGGAATAGCCAGGACCATTTTTAATATAACTCCGATTGGATTCGTCTGAAAGAAGAAAGTCATATACACCTAGGATGCCTCAAGGGTGAGTAAAACACAGGTTAATTTTAATTTTTGGGTGAACTAACCCTTTAAGTTACTTTATGTATGCATGAACAGTATGTGTATTTCTCAAATGAGAATGACACACCATGAATAAGCTTTGAAATCCTCATTCATAATTGCTTTGTTCTCCCTCGTGGTTTTGGGAGCTATGCAAGAAGCCACATCCAGGGCACAGCGTTTCTATACTGAGGACAGTCCAGAGTACTGCGGACCTTTTAGATCCCATTTTCAGGAAAATAATGATTATATTGTCCTCTTCCTATTTTGTTCCAAAGTTGTAATACAAACCGAAGTTGGGTTATCATGCAGCTGTAGAGTCTTAAAGTTAAAGTAATCTTCCTTTTAACTGTTTGTGTGTGAATATATGTGTGTGCGAGAGAGAGAGAATTTAAAGTGCAGGATATTATATTAATAACAGTTTGTGACAATTCCAGTATCGCTGTTTTGGTTGCTACTGTGTGTATTAACCCCAGCGATGACCAATCAGTTCTTGCGTTGCAGTAACTCAGCATTCTAGATGTTTCCCCGTTGGCTTGTTGGCAATATACCTCAGAAATGGTTTTATATATGAAGTATTCAAAGCAATTTTATTTTCATGTGGCAAAAGACTTCTGTGTTAACAGAATTGCTGTGTATAGACCGGTAGCACTGTTAAAGGTATATGGAAACTGAATAGATTTTGACGTTGATGACTTTTGGAATTCCAAAAGTGGAGATGCCCCTTAAAGTAGATGCCCAACTTCCCTTATCTGTCCAATTTTTTTTCATAGTGTTGTGCGTTTTATAAGATTTTATTGTGCACTAAAACCCTCAGTTGTGTTAGCTGTTACTGTTGGAACCAATGTTTCTTATAGTGTGTACAATCAAAAATGACGTAAAACTTACACCCCCAAAAAAGCTACTGACAGGTTGAAGAGAGAACTGATATGGACTTTGGATGTCCCTGAACATTTCATCCTTCTGTATCCATTTTCTTTTTTTTTTTTTTGTATGCAACCAAAAGATTGTGCATTTTTGAATATTATGGTTATTTGGTTCCAGCCCCAGAAATTTGATTAGTGTTTGGCCTGATGAATATCAGTGAGTTGAGTGAATAATGATAAAATATTGAATCATCAAACAAGTTAAATAAGTCCTAAGGTGGTTAACCCTAAAACATGTTCATTTTGTTCATGAATTGCTGTGCACTTCAGTACAAAACTATGTTATCACAAATAATTGCCCGCAGATAATATTACCTTCAGTGTGAATTTGAAGGAACTGTCCTTTGTCAGTTTACCAAAAACCGTTTACAATATTCAATCTTGAAATAAAGCAAACAATGTTATTCACGTTCTCTACTAAATTGTCTGCTTCAAGATTTGCTTTTTATTTTATTTTATTTTATTTTATTTTTAAAGGGGTCATATGATGCTTTTTTTAAAGATCATTATTTTATGTATTTGGTGTAACAGAATATGTTGACATGCTTTAATGTTCAAAAAACACATTATTTTTCAAATGCTGTACATTATTGTAGGTCCTCTATGCCCCGCCTCTCTCAAATGCTTAGTTTTCTACAAAGTCCCTCCTTCCGACAAGCGCAGTCTGCTCTGATTGGCCAGCTGACCCAGTGCATTGTGATTGGCCGAACACCGCAAGCACTCATCGGAAATGTAACGCCCCTTACCATAATCGTGAGCTTCATCTTTCAAAATAAATGTAAAGACAGAGCCCGGAAGGGGAACAGAGTCGCATGACAGACACAGTGATGAAGCTGGTATGTGTGCAGTACACAAGCCACAGTTAAGACAGCTGACTCCACTGTAATCTTCTTCCTCACTCTCTGTCACACACACGCGCGCGCGCACGCACGCACATACACACACGATGCGCAAAACTCCGCATTTGAACAGTCAATAGCAAATACTTAAACTAATAACAAAACAGTAGCTGATGCAGAAGCGCCAGATTGTCATAGCAAAGTCAGAATTACCTCCTCTCCTAGGTTCACGAAACGGTCGTCCATAAAATGCATTGCTGTTCTGTTGTAAGTAATCTTAAAGATTCCTAAATGCATCTACTTTCGGAAGGCCAAAGAAAGTGCTTTTGCTTTAGACTAGAAACACAGCGTCTCCCTGACATGGCTGCATCAACACTAACTGTGGTTACTGAAACCACTCCTTCTTTCTTTGCGTGCACATTTGGGCTGCATTATGCTAATATTTCCACATAGTGAGGTAGATATGTGGGGGCGTGGCAGAGTCTTAACTTTGATAAAGAATATCTCTTTGGTTTTGAGACTTTAGTCTTTGCAACTTCAGGGATCTTATCTATGCACAATCAGCTTGTAACACTCCAAAGAGAAAGGAAACTTGAAATCGCATCATATGACCCCTTTAAAGTGGCATATATTCCTAATTACAGTACTAAATGGAACTGACAAAATAATGACTCTTTAGCAAACATTTCTGAACACTTCCATTTGTATATTATTCGCCAGACCAACAGATAACTCACGCCATTGGTTGAGCTAGTTCAGATGGTCAAATACTGTATTTTAACAAAATATATGAATAGCTTTTAAGGAACTGCACAAATTATTTTTGTAATTTCGAAAATACACAATTTATACAATACATCCTTTACAACTTTTCATTTATTCTGTATAAAAACAGGAACATTTACTACTGGCCTTTTTTTCTGACATAACACTCTAAAAGTTTTTTAAAAATAGCTGACACTTCAAATATTTACAGAGTCAAATCTCATAGCAGTTATTTGTCACAGTCAACATTCAAAAACATTTCATTCTTTTTGAGACCAACATTCCATCCTTCATACGTGGTTTAGTCAGCTGGATTCATTTTGGAATAATTTTGCATAAACGTTGGATATCTACTGGAATAATTAGCTTGTTAATTCACAATAAGCAGATGTCTGATATGTTTATCATCTTTTAAGCATGCTTCAAGAATGGAAACTTGCGTCTTACTCCAGTTAATGTAGCCAAGTTAGCCACTTTTGAAGAATGGAACCTAGTCAGTTATTACAAGAAATCCAAATATGATTATCTCAGTTTTACACGGCAACAAACAACTTTTTATTTATATATATATATATATATATATATATCATATATATACACATTCTCCACCACTCAATTTCAATTCCAAACTCAAAAAAACAATGTAAACTCATCCTAGGTTGTTAATAAATATGACAGTTATACCAGTAAGTACAACTTGAAGCTGAGATGGGGATCTCATAGATACATTAATGCAATATAACACTCACTTGAGAGTAATCACGTGCTGAAAATAGTACAAATGCATGAACGAGAACCTCCGTTTGTTGGTATTAAGTAGGGTGACCATACGTGCCAGTTTCCCAGGACGCGTCCTGGCCAGGATTTCTATGTCATACACCGATCGGTCAGCACACACAAACAAAGCCAAAACCTAGATATTTTAGGCAATATAGAAATCCTGGCCAGGATACGTCCTGGGAAAATGGCACGTATGGTCACCCTATATTAAGTGCTTCAGATAGTGACACATTAAACGGGAATCACCTTGGGTTCAGTATCTTTACCCCACTAACCTACCTTACTGTTCAGTCAAGACGTACTTGCAGTTGTACACCCGGTCAAAGACAAAAGAATACACAACACGACATCATCACAGGTCACTACACAATGATGTCATCGGTAGAGTTGGTCATTTATCTGATGAGGTAACATTTGGTTCTATATCTAAATGCTTGCCTGGCCACGTTGCTGCTCATGCACTCAAAATACTATGTAGATCAATACCATAAAATGGAGCCCAGCTGCATTTAGAAAAATACATTAACAGTTACAAGGCTGGACATGCTGTGTCTTGAGTCATTTGAAATATAATGGAAGACGAGGCTAATGGAGTTGCATTGAGCCAAACAGAGAGCAGGAGATGCCCTTAAATGCAGTTAGAACTTAAATGGAGGATAAGGCTTTTAGGTCAAACCTATTGAGTAAACAAGGCAAAACAAGGAACGAGATGTCATTTATATGCTCTGATGCTCCAGAAAAACATCATTTGTTGCCTGCAGCAGGGGTTGAGTTGAGGCTGTCGAGCTGCCCACAGAACTCAGCCTTTGTGCCCTCTGCAGGCCTGGAGGAACAAACGCCTCACAGCTGCCACTAGTGCTGAGATTCAAGTAATCCTGCAAGGCACAATTGTAAACCTGCAGTAACCGAAGAAACTGGTTCAATGCACGCAAATTTTGAGCTAAGCTGAGTCAAAACGTACATGTTTGGTGGTTTCCGACAGCAGGAGTTCAGTCCTTTCCACCAGTTTCTTGAAGGTTGGTCTCTTCAGAGGGTCAGCACTCCAACACCATCTCATTACCTCATAACTGAAAACACATACACAAATGCCTTGTCATCATGTGCATCAGACACGGATATAACCTACAAAAGTTAAAGGTCAGTCATTTAAAAAAACAAAAAAGAAATTAATACTTTATAATAATTCAGCCAGGATGCATTAAATCATTTTAATTGTTACAAAAGTCATTTATAATGTTACAAAAAAAATATTTTTCGAATAAATGTTGTTCTTTCAATTCATGAAAGAACCCTTCAAAAATGCACCACGGTTTCCATAAAATATTAAGCAGCACAACTGTTTTCAACATTGATGATAATGTTACTTGAGCACCAAATCACTATATTGGAATGATTTCTGAAGGATCATGTGACCCTGAAGACTGGAGTAATGGCTGTGGAAAATTCAGCTTTTATGCCACATTCTAAAAAAATCTAAATGGCGGTTGTTTATAACTCACAATTCTGAATTTTTTTTCTGTGAATTCTGGGTTTACATATATTTGGGTTTTTTTTCTGCAACAGAATAACGTGAAAAAGGCTATTGCAATTTTTTTTTTCTTACAATTCTGACTTTTTTTCTTGCAAGTTTATATTAAGAAAAAAAAGTCACACATGCGAGAAATTTCTTACCAACCCCAAACTTTTGAATGAATAGTGTGCATGCCATAAATATAAAACACTGAACTGTTTATAGACAGGTCAAGTTCTCTTACACTTCACTTGGGGCAAACTCAGGCTCACTCATTCTGTATCCATCTTGTATCATCTTATAGAATGTGGATCCAACTTGAATACCCGGATATGGCGTGTTACCTGCAGGCGGATTTTCACCTCATAAGACCTTCATAATGAGTCACTTACAGGCATTGTATTCTGGGTAGGTGTGATATTTAATAAGCCTGATACCAGCTCATACAGACCCAGAGAGAAGATCTCCCACAATAAGATGCCATAGGACCACACATCACTCTCAAAAGTGTACACGCACACAAACAGGCTCTCTGGGGACATCCATTTCACCGGTAAACGTGCCTAGACAGAAAACACAACATTCATGATACTAAACAATCTATTAACATGTTTTTTGGGTAATACGGTATCAAGCAATATCACGTTCACAAACCTAAAGGGATCATTCACTCAAAAATGAACATTTATTCATCATTCACTCAATGTCAAGTTTTTTCAAACCAGTGTAGAATTCTGGGGAACAGAAAATATTTAGAAAAATGTTTGTCGATATATTAATCCATGGAGTTGTTTTTTTACTTTATTTGACTCCATTGACTTTTATTATATGAACATAAATATTAATACTTCTTAATTCACTGTGCCATATTAATAAGGCTAGAGATGTATGTGAGTGTTTTAAATATGTTGTTCAGAGGATTTTAAGTGCTTAGCATCAGTATCATAACCTAATGTGCACACGCTGCACAAAATAATAATCCCTCGTATCTGTCAACACGCTCAGTGTTTGTCTGAGAACATTCAGGGATTATCTGTTACCGTGTGTGTGTGTGTGTGAGTGAACAGGTTTGTGTCTATCTACTGCTCTCAATAACACTGTAACTGTGACATGAATGGCCAACAGAACAAGAATGTTGTTTTGATATGTCTGGGGAAATTAGCTAATAATTAACTAAGAGCTAATAAAACTAAATTAAAATTAAGTTAAGATAAATTAAATCTGACAAAATCTTAATTTGGCTGTACAAATCTCAATTGACTGTACAATTTATTTTATTGTACAGTTTTTTTTTTATTTTACTGTAAGACGTATCTTATGCTCAAGCCTGAATTGATCTGCCTAAATACTGTAAAAACAGTAATAATGTGCATTATTACAGCAGCAATTACTCCAGTCTTCAGTGTCACATAACCCTTCAAAAAATCACTGTAAAATGCTGATTGGTGCTCAAGAAACATTTTTGTTGTTCATATTAATGATGAAAACAGTTGTCATATTTTGTGGAAATGTTGAGATAAAGAAATAAAGTTAAAATATATGAATAAAATTACTTCTTTCTTTCTTTGAGGTCCAAGGAGTGTGTGACAAAACTACATTTCCCATCATTCTCTCTGTCACAATAAAACATCAAGATAAAGCATCTATTACAGACCTAATGCACATTCTTTGCTTTTCATTTTGTTGCATTAGTGCGAAAAAAAAAGCTTCCTGTCATATCACTAAGTGAAAAAAGGAAAATAAACATGAAATTGCATCCATTTTGTCCTAAAATCACTTGAAACACATCATTTGGTTCCCAAAGGAACTGAAAGCAGCATTAGTGTTTGGGTAAAGTCTGTAGAAATCATCTTCTTTCTGGGCCTGTGATTGAACTACTATGCTACAGGACTGTAACCACCATAGACATTGAGGGGAGCAAGTGTTACTGACAAGCTACTGTTCACTAAAGTAGAGCATGAATTCCAGCATGAAGCATCAGTTTTAACACTAAAAGAGAGTGAGGTAAGATGGAAGTAGCAAAACATTTAATATTTGACTACTGTTTTATGTTAAATAACTGACAGTAACATCCAGTGATGCAAACTGCTCAACTTTTTTTTAATAAAATTTTGCCATTTTGAATGGAAAATATGGTGTCCTTTGCTTCATAAAAACAACTGAAAATTTGGGTCTAATGTTCTCATTTAGCTAGCAAGGTAAACATGAGCGTGTTTGTGTTCTCACCACTGATGGAAAAGAGGGTGTAGGCCTGCTCTCCCTGGGTTGTTGCCACACACTCAAGTGTGTGAAATTTTCCTTTGCTGACATTAAGTCGACTATCCACCTCGCTTCGTCCAAATTCTGCCCCTGACACTTTGACCACGGCAAACTCCTCATCTGCATGTGTCGCATTCAACAGGTGGGAGCACCTGCCAGAGGTTATAAATGTTATTTAGAGGCAAAATAATATGACAAACAACTATTATGTTCGTTTTTTACCACATTTAATCAAAGAAACACTGTTCTATTCCAAATGGCTTACTGCAGTCTCGTGACAGCATGACTATGCAATAGTTTGTTTACTTACATAACATAAGTCAGAGATGTGCGCTATTGTACGGTTGTTGAGTGTGAGTGGCTTATATTAGCCTGTGAGTCATACCGTGTATGTGGCGGCTTGCAGTAATACCAAGATATTTTTGGGACAGGATATCCTGAAGCAACACACCGCACCTGTCCATCAACCGGCCCCTCCTGGGAAACTATCACTGGTTTACCTAAATGAGAGATTTACTGTATTTATATAAAGACTGCATGAAAATAAAGTTTATTTAAGGTAAGTAAAGTCCCGTCAATCTTCTGGACTCACATATAACATGGACGGTGAAGGACTGATTGACAGATGCATATGTGTGATTGGCTGAGAAAGTGTATATCCCGCCCTCTGATCCATGAACTCGAACCAGCCTTAGTTTACTGATGTACCTGTAACATCCAGAAAAACGATACTCAGTGTCTGTGTAATCGTCACATAGAAATGTTAGAAAACACACCTAATGGACATGCATAGCTGACAAATGAATATGAAATTTATTTTTTAACATTGTGGTTTTATGTTTATTGCATAGCAAGGGAGGGTGTATAAGGTAATACAAGTTTAAGGTGATGTAATTACACATTACCAAGCAACTAACCTTAACCCTATAAGTACGACACAGTAACCCTATAGTAAGTACATATATATTTGTGTACTTACACTGTAGCAACATCATCTTAAAATAAACCCTTTATAAATGTAGATGGAAAAAGTTTCATAAATAGTAAAAATAGTAATAGTAGTTTAAACAACATTTAAACATAGCCCTATTAAATATAGAGTTTAATATAGTTTAAATGTTCTAAAAGTCTTCAAGAGTTTGCTCAATTACACATTTTTTTATTTCTAGTATGTACATTTAGTATTGTGATAATAATATGTAAATTTATGACCAATCATATTTGAAAATAGACCGCAATTGGATAATGTCGATAATATATATATTTTTTAATTTAAATAAAAAACATAAAACTTCAGTGTTCATTTTGATACATTTCTGTATCAATAATTTCACAGTTCACAATGAGGACTGTCAGTTAGCAGGACAATTTCTACATGTTGCTTGAAACTGCTGAAAATAGTAGTAATAATAAACCACAATATAATTATATTGACCAGCTATATGTATGGACAAAATCTTTGCTGTTTAGCCAAATTATCAAAATATAAAAGAAAACAAAAATAGTGGTGTTTTCTGTGAAGAAACATAAAAATACACATCATGTCACCTGCTCATATACTGCTTTTGGATTTTAACAGTAGCCCCTCACTGCAGTACACAAGATCCATCCAGGGGGTGGAGATAGGTTTAAGGGTGGAGATGGGTAGGTTTAGGGATCAGAGGGTGGAGACTGTTAGGTTTAGGGATATGTAAGTTGGGAGTAGTTGGATCTGGATCTAACCTCACCCCCTGGATCTTACGTTCTGCAATGAGGACCATGTCGATTTTAATTTACCAGCTTTAAGGAAACCGTAACATCTGAGGCCAAGCAAAGTTTTGTGGATAAAAACAATGGTGGAGTTACCATAGAATTGACTGTTTGTGCGTACATGTGCAGGTGTGCTTACCTGTACTGCTGGTTGTGCAGTGTAATGACGTGTTCAGATGTGTTTTTGAGCTGTTGGTTGTTATAGATCCAGTAGAATTCGGTGGGACTGGGGTATGAAGTCATCTCCACGCTGAGGGTCAGGCTTTCTCCCTCTCTCACCTCCACCACCCTGTCCTCTCCCTCCGTAAGGTTAATGAAACCATGCTCTGCCACACATACACACACATGCAGATTTCCTGTTGTTTAGCCTATGAAGAATCTTTTGCTAAAAATGAAATTTAACAATGTATGGTTAAAGCAAAATCCATGCATGAAAGGGGGGACTTGCATTTCAACAGTTGCCATATTAAGGGCTACACTTTATCCCGTTCATTTTCCTACAAGTGGCCCATCTGGCCCTTCTTGCTCAGTCAATAATGTTTGAAAATGACTGTTTGATCCAGCTTCATTCCACATTTTTTACCGTAAACCTCCAGATTGGCAGTTGCCATGGAGACACCTTTCTCATTCTTTGCAATACAGTAATAGACTCCTGAGTCATTCATCTTCACAGATTTGATGTGCAGTCCTGCTGAGCGCTGATATTCTCGAGAACCAGGCAGGATGTTTGATTTTTGGCTTTGCATTGCTATCTAAATGATGATTGAAAATAACAGTCCAGGTTAGGTACTGTGCCTACAGAAAGTAATCTGAGATTATGCGAAGTGTGTGGATCTAACCGTTTCAGAAGGGATACTCCAGCTCAGGCTGATATCATGGTTGATGTTGATGGTGCTACAGTTGAGCACAAACTCCTCACCCTGAATCAGAATCACATTTTCGATTCTGGATAGGCTGATCGATGGCACTGTCTCCGGGACTGTGTTACAAACAGCACATAGGCACATTAAAGCATAGGCAAACAATTATCAATTTCTATACTGTATATATGTATATAAGCCATAACATCATAATGATATATACTACTCGTCAAAGGTTTTTTTATGTTTTTGAAAGAAGTCATTTATGCTCACCATGGTTGCATTTATTTTATTTTTTTTAAAGTGAAATATTACTACAATTTAAAAGAACGGTTTTCTATTTCAATATATTTTAAAATATAATTTATTCCTGTAATGGCAAAGCTGAATTTTCAGCAGCCATTACTCTAGTTTTCAGTGTCACGTGAGCCTTCAGAAATCATTCTAATATTCTGATTTGATGCTTAATTATTATTTTTTAAATAATGGTTCTTATTATTATCAATACAGTTTTTGCTTAGTATTTTTTGTGAAAACTGGGATGCTTTTTCAGGATTCTTTGATGAATACAAAGTTCAGTGAACATAATTTATTTGAAATAGACATCTTTGTAATGTTATAAAGTTTGTTGGTATAGTATAGTTAATGTAATAATATTGTTAGTATTGATCAATTCATTGCATCTTTGCTGAATAATATATTATTGAAGAATGTGGGTAACCAAACAATTGCCTATTTACTTCCATACTATTTTTCCCTACTATGGAAGTCTATGGGTACCGGCAACTGTTTGGTAACCCACATTCTTCAAAATACCTTCTTTTGTGTTCAGAAGAATAAAAAAAAAACTCATACAGATTTGGAACAACTTTTGTTCCAAAAGATGTTGACAGAAATGTCATTTTGGGGTGAACTATACCTTTTAAGAACTGTTCTTACACACCTGGCCGCACACCCAAGTTATACGGGCTTGATTTCACAGGTTTTTCATCCATCTCTCCTGCACAAATGTAGCAGCCCTCAAAAGCTCTGGAGACATTTTTGATGGTGATCCCTTTCTGAGGGTGTGCATTGTAGGTGAGGCCAGCTGGTAGACCAGAGCCACCACAGGTCAGAAGGGACAGCTGATTGACAGCTGGATCTGTTACTAAACAAGGAAGAGTGCCATCCTCTCCTTCCCTCACCAAAAGGCCATCCACCATGGAGCGCACAAAAGGATTCTCCAAATCTGCCAGAAAAAGTGAACAAGGAGAAATTTTAGGCAGAAAAAATATAGAGAGAGATGAGAAAGGGGAACAAAAGACATGCAAATCAAAGGAGAATAAGGAAGAAAAGGACAAAAAAGGTTAGTGCAAGACAAGGGGTGTTACATTAAACCCTGGAAGGATTTTTGTATGAGGAAATAGTAAGTAAATGAGTGTGTGCAAAAGGTTTATCACAATTCGACTGGACAAACACCTACGTCATTCAATGACAGTTAACAATAATGAAAATAAACCAGATATACACTAAGGTGTGGTTTGAGTACACAGCTTAAGGACATGCATTTGTGCTTTAACAAAAAACCTATTCAGGTTTTAATACTCGTTCAGGACTGAAGTGTGGGAACTGAGGCCAAAGGACAAACAAACCCCACAAATCAAAAAAAAAAAAAAAAAAAAAGTGCAAACATGCACAATCAAACCCACCTTTCACATAGATGTAGATGGAGCTCTTCTCCTCCGTTTGTGTGTTTTCACAGGTGTAACGGCCCATATGCTGTACCTGTGTAGAGGTGAGGAGGATGATACTAGCTCCATCTTCCTCTAGCCCTCCCTCAATTTTCCGACCTTTTTCCCGTATCCATTGCACCTTGCTCGCCTCTGTATTATCATGACAACTGAGTTGCAGTTGTCCACCTTTTGGTATCACCAGATGAGTGGCATTGGGAATGATAACAGGTTCAAACCGCGCTGTAATACAAACACACACAAATCAGTTCACTGTGCATACAGAGTCAAGGCTAATCAACGGCAGCATCCAGCAATCAGTTAATACATCACTTTGTTGAGAGTCAACAACCCTTGGAAGGTGAGGTCTTTATGGTAGACGTGACTGTGATGACTCTTTAAAAGCCAGTAACCTGTGGCTGATGTTATCAAAGCAATACTCTGCTCTGAACATTTTAATTATGACAAGCAAAATAAAAAACTCCAGGATCCCATATAGTATGTAAACAACAACAACATAAAAACAATTATAAAATATTTATCATAAAGTAATTGTATGGATCATAATGAAAAAAATAATTGAAACATATTTTTCCATGTAAATTCATTTTTACTGTTCAAATACTCTCATTCGCAATTTTACCTATTATTCAGATTCCGTTAAAAACATAGGATTTTATGCAAACAATATATAAATAACTAAAAATGTATAATTTATTAATTTAATTTATGAGAGGTGGAATGTGACCTTCACATATTTCGTGATATTTATCCAAACTTTGTTTCCCTTTTTATGATGCGTTCATATTTTAAACAATTAGCGCTACCTTCTGCTATTAACCGCACCATGACTAATCAGTTACATCGTCATGATTTATGTCCAGATGATTCAAACGTTACGAAGCAAGTGAATCAAGTGAAGTAAGGGTTTGTACGGGGTGCATTAGTGGCTAAGACAGGCAATTTTTCAGGATAGCCAAAGTCTGGATCCCATTTGCCTAACGGTGCCGAGCTTTCCCGCTCGATTAGAACGTTCAGTTATTCGCGTCACAGATGCACGTCTTGTAGCCTACTGGCGCGACTATGACAACACCAGCAGAATAAAGAGCGCAGAATTGATCAAAGCAACACTCATAACATTGACGGCATTTTAAAGATTTAAGGTATAATTGTTTCAGGGATGTGTTTTAAGTAATACTTTAAAACACATTCCATTGACTGTGTTTACAAAGTGTCCTGACTGTTAATGTTGTTAATGTTCATTTCTGTTAATGTTGGCAGTGTTAGGGGTTATTGGGTTGTTATGCTTCAGCCCGAGAAATATTAGGCTAGCCTACTGAAGTAGGGGCTCGAGTTGTACCATTAGTACCAAAAAACAACTGACACGTTCACATTTATGTTTTATAGTTTTGAAAATAGTTCCTGTTTCCCGTTTATTATTTTAAATGAAAATTATTCAAATTAGGTTGATTGAATAAAAAATATTTAGAACTAGTAAACTTGAAACAGCACAAATAAGCTAAGTAGCTTAGACGTTGAAACAGCTCGCGATCTCACCTATAAAATGTTACACGTAAACCTTCTTCTTCTCGGACGGATTTATTTGAAGCGACACTAATTACACGCTAATTAATTAATGACATTGTGCACAACACATGAGATTCACTCCCCTAATAACTCAAACTCACAACACATGAGATTCACTCCCCTAATAACTCAAACTCACAACTCACAACACATGAGATTCACTCCCCTAATAACTCAAACTCACAACACATGAGATTAACTCCCCTAATAACTCAAACTCACAACACATGAGATTAACTCCCCTAATAACTCAAACTCACAACACATGAGATTAACTCCCCTAATAACTCAAATTAATCAATAGCTGTCTAGCTCAGTAAATGTATAGATAGACATAATATAAATCAATAATTAAATTGACAGCGAGCAACTATAACTTTGGAATAGGCACACTATAGAGAGTACAGATGGACAAAAATCTAACTCTTAACGGTCATCATCTGCATCTGTCGTCAAAACAATTGGATAATCCTCGGGATATTAGACTAATCATCCGCTCATAATTAACAGTAGGCTACACATATGGATTACGTAGCCAACATAATTGGGAAAAAATACAACAAAGGCCTATTTGAAAAAAGAAAAATAAACATATTTTATCTGAGCAGTTGAAAATATTGTATGTTCTTACCTCCAGGTAAGGCGAATAAAAGTAGAACTGTGCATAAAAACCAAACGTGACCCATTCCGTCAGTCTGTGAGTGTTCGTGTGTCCATACATTAGTACGACTCATCCACAACGTGTCTTCAAGTCTCTCTCTCTCTCTCTCTCTCTCTCTCTCTCTCCCTCTCTCTCTCTCTCCCTCTCTCTTCTCTCTCCCCTTCT